CGCCCGTATTTATCCTTTTCGCGTTCAATTTCCTCAAACGTCAACCCCAGACTCACCACTATTGTCTACCTTCGATTCCACATACACCAAATAAGTGAAAAATCATAAATTTTCATAAATCAGTCATCAATAACTTGCTGCGTAAAACTAATAAACAATAGTTTTTGTAGATCGTGTGTCACCTTAACAATAGTTGTCATTCTCATTAGTATTGTCAGGTTAAAAAATTTGGGTAAAATAAATCCTTTTTTAGTTGTTTCAAATCTTTGAAACTTAGACCAGACTTTATCACTCAGACATCCAACCCAGGAAAATAAATTGATTTGACAAATTCACTAATCTTTATCTAGACATTTACATTTATGGCTGATTTTGGAATTAAATAGAATGAATCATACATGTGTCGGTGAAACTCATTGATAAAGAACAATATATTTTATACATTGTTTTTTGTGTTTCATCTTAGGTCATATATTTGTTTATCTGCATGCGTTTCCATGATTTTTTTAAAATAGTAAATTTTAATCAGTTAGATATTTTAAAGAGAACAATCATTGTTCTAGTATTCTAAAAATATCCATGAATGGAAACAAATATGCAAATGCATGCACCTTCTTTGGGAAATAATAATAATAAATTTTACAATTATTAAAGTTTTGTTTTATATTAAAAATGAAAAGCTTCGGTTTGAACTCCGTACCGAAGAATTTGTCGGACTATTTTGAAGTTTTAATGCCTGTACATGCACAATAAAATATTACCTAAATTATATTTACAGAATATGCGAATTCAGTTTGTTTATAGCATGGAACACAAAAAAAGAAATGCTTGCCCCCCTGCATATCAAACAGACCTTTTTTCCTTTTTCTTTAAAAAAAAAGAAATATTCGTCAGTAATTATGATGTAATTTCTTGGAATTTTCTTTACCAGTATAAGCTAGCATTTATATTTTGCCAAACCAAATATATATTAATTGACAAAATAACACTATTGTTGATAAGAAAATATTGTTTCGGTTCACAAAATTAATGATAGAAACTAAAAGTTTTATTCCCTCTGAACTAAAACTACCAAAGTTGTATTCAAACAATAACACCTCGGTTTGAGCCGTTTAGTGAACCGGATTAATAAATATATAAGTGCAAAAATACCATTCTGCATTATTTGACACCATACATAAATGTTAGTTTAGTGTTACCATTGATATGACATAAAATAGGTAATAAATTTAAGGGTGGTTTTACATATTCTATTTTAGGTAAAATTATATACAGTATAATAAAAAAAGTACGTCTCAATATATAAAAATATTTTATAGAATACTTTTGCTTATAAAGTTTATAAAATATATATAATTTATATAATTTATTATTATTAATAATATTTAAAAAAAAAAACTTAAAGTTTAAAGTAAATTTTTATTTTTATTTAAATAAATTTTAATATAATATTTCAAATATTATTTATAAAAAATTAGGAAAATTTGATATCGATATGTATTAAAAAAGTATATATTTAAAAAAAAAATTTTATATAATTTAGATTTAGATCAGATTATTTAAAAAAAATAAAATATACAAAATTTATTAAAAATAATAAATTTATTAAATATAAAATAAGTTTAGATTACAACTTTAATTAAATTTAATAAATAATTTTTTTTTATAATAAACTATTATTAGTTTATTTTATAATATATATTAATTTTTAATAATAAATAAAATAATAATTTATTATTTTTTTTTAGTTATATAGAAGCTTTGTAATAGAAAGAGAGAAAACTCTAAAAAAATTTTTTTTGAGTTAATGTTAAATCTGAAATTATTTTGCTAAAAAAATTATAATTAACTTATAAAATAAAATTTTATCTTTTTTAGAATTCCTCTTTTTTTATTGTAAAACTTCCATATAATAATTTATTAAAATTTTATTTATTAAAATTACCTTTAAAATCATATAAATACTTTTATTAATATTCTTTAGTAACATATTTTTTATTAATAAAAAGGTTTTAAAATCACATAAATATTTTATTAATTTACTTAAAAAAATATATTTAAAAGTATTTTTATTAATATTTATAAAAAGCATTTTTCATAGTAAAAAATTACTTTAAATTTGAAAAAAAAATATTTATTAATATTTTTTTTTTAATAAATACTTTAAAAATAGCTTTTATTTAAATATATAGAAAGTTTACTAAGAAAATGAGACTAAAAATTTTTTAATAAAATTTTATTTTTTATTGCATTTTAATTCTTGATAATATTAGGTTAAAATATAATAAAATTTAAATTTTTATTAAAAAATTTCCTAGGCTCCATTTTTCTAATAAATTTTCTATAGTCAAAGCTAAAGATAAGCATCATAATTAAGAAGTTACAACTCAGTAAGTTGCAACTCCTTGTAAATTTATTTTAATATAAAAATTCATAAATAGTTGCAACTAGTTAAAAATTTTAAAAATAATTATGAGAACCATCTTTAGTCAAAGCTTATTATAGTGAATCTCATTATAGTAAAATCATATTATAGTAAATTATTTTTAATTCACCAAATTAATTTTTTATAATAAATTTCTCTCAATATAGTGAACTTTTAATAAAATCTCATTATAGTGAATAAAAAATAATTAAAACTAAGAATTCACTATAAAGAGCTTTGATTATATATAATAATCCTAATAATTTTCTTATATAATCAAAGTTTCTATAATATAATAAGGGTTATGAATTTATAGGCAAGACTTCTTAATTGATAAAAAAAAATATTATTACTATTTGATAATTGATATACCATATATTGCGGGTCATAGTACTTTGAATATTTTGCAAATTTTAGATTATTAACCTTGTATTACTAAATCTATAATATTTATTAAATACAGAAATAGAAATGTTAAAGACTTGTAGTTGCATATGACTTTCATAATATAATTATATTATGAAAGTCACATGCAACTTGAATTAGGTCATGAAAGTAACTTCATAATCTGCTGGTAACTTCATAATATAATGGTAACTTCATAGTCTACCGGTAACTTCATAATATAGTAATGATTTCATAATCTAATTTCACGATCTGGTGGTAACTTCATAATTTACTATTCATAATCTGATAGCAACTTCATAACCTATATATGGGTAGCTTCTTTGTATTTATTGCATTATTTCAATTATTTCCTGTATATTATGATGGTGATTTCATAGTCTAACGGTGAATGGTGGTACTTTATTTTAATAGTGATATCATGATCTAATGATTACTGCTTTCTTCTTATTTCTAATTCGTTTACATTAGTTTTTTTATATTGCTAGTATTGATTTTCCATCCTTGTTTGAATGTCTGGTTGCATGTTGTGGTTATTGACACTTTATGCTTGTTTGATTACTAGTTTTATATTGAGAATTTACGCCTATTTGGTTGCCTTTTAAAATACTGAAATAGTGTAAAAAAGGGCGATAGGTGGCGTGATAAATTTGCGATTAATTTCAGCTGATATTATGACATAATTCTGGCTGATCTTTGAATATGTAATTTGAGAATCTAATTTGGCGTTATAGCAGTGATCTGATAGTGTCAGAATTGTTATGAAACTTGTGAAAAACTGGCAGGGAGCCAGAGAGGTTCTATTAGTTTGCCAGTTTTATGCCAGCTTGGTTGTCAAATTATTATATCCAAGTTTTGGCTGAAATTGTAGAATAAAGTTAGCTGACATTAAGCGAATAAGTCATATGCAAAGATTATACCATAGCTGAATACATATCTAGAAAGATAGAGCCTTCTTCTGTCACAATATTCTATATATAGATTATGAAGAAGGCTCTATTTTCAGATATATATCTATTTGCCTTCCTTTTATGATTACTAAAGTAAGGCATGATCTTTCTGTTATATTGCTAAAAGATATATATATCAAATTTTTTCTGAGCCATCCCCCCTGTCCCTAGAGAATTTTTTTTAGGGATGACAGAAGAGAAGACAGGTTTGCTATCTTTCTTGAGATTATTAGGCTATTTTATTTCTTTCTTTATTAGTGTCCCTACTGTCTTTAGTAAAAAATAGTAATTTCTAGAAAAAAAAATCATAATTTTCCTATGGTATATATATGATATGTGTGTATAGTATATATATGATATATGTGTATGATTTATATATGTATATGATATATATCTATACCTATAGGTAAAAAAAAAATAAAAAGATAAGAGTTTCGATTTTTACTAGGATGAGTAAGAACAGAGGAAACACACATCTTAGAAGGCTTCCCAGAAATCTAAATGCGCTAAAACTAATAATATGGTTGTTCTCCTCAGAAAAATTTCATTACAAACAATAGAGCAATTTTTCTAGGGATAATTTTCTAAAGCCAACACTCTATTGCATCGGATATTTTTATCCTATCGAGAGCCTGTCTCATTGTCTTCAGGGTCTGACAGTTCTGAAACATCTTATTCAATTTTTTTCGATAATAATATGCATTCAAATAGTACTTTTTTATGTGCCAATCACAAAATTCATATTCAGAAACCGTCAGTCTTTCACACCCATCTTGTTTGCATAAAGGTTGCTAGCGTCTTTTTCAGTGAATACAACACCCTTCTTATTTTCTACTTCCCTGCTCACAAACCTCCCCTTCATTAGAACGATACTGGAAAATGTATTTACTGCCCATTGATATTATTCTTAGATAAATAACACTTTGATATCTATAATTATTTATTTTTATTTTAAACTTTTTTACTAGGGTATTATACTGTTTCAGTATACTAGATACATAACTAAAAAATTTTATCATGACCCAATCAGAGTTTCTCAACACCTCCGCCTTTTTTTACCTAGAGACCAAAAAAAATAAAATGGAAGGCCAACTGATTCACTATTCTAGTGAAAAAAACTTGTTAGATTTTTTAACACTGGATGATATAGTTGCAGGAAATGATGAGGGATTAACTTTAATACTCAAAAATGTTTTATCTAAATGATAAATATTCCATTCATGACCATTAAGAATGAAGAATCAACAGAAAGAATAAATAGAATGTACCGCTATGTATTGCGTCTTTATGGTCATCTTATTAATAGCCAAAAGGCACTAGTAACTCTTAAAGACATTTGGGTATTCTTTAACATTCTTGTACCAGATGACGAATCTCCCAATAAATGCAAAACAAAAATAAGGGATATTCTATCTGGTAGTGTAAAGACATTTTCAGTAAAGCATATTAAGGCATTCTCTTTTTGTAGCTATCATACAGAAAAAAGTCATATTTGTGAATTTATACAAACAGTACTGGTGGTAGAAAAACTGCTATTAAAGCTGTTCAAGATAATAACTTCAAAATTGCTTCAGATGATTTATACTCATTTCACCGTAAAGTAGCTCGAGAGAATGGTATTCAACTCTCTAGATGGTTTACAATAAACAAATATATATGCAAGAAAGGCAAGCGGACTAGCTCACTTTGTCCACATGAATTCTATGTATCTATAAAAGATTTCTGTCTACTGGAAGATCTTACAACAATAAGCGATCAATTTCCTATTTTAGCTCTCTTACAGGATCATACTCTTGTTCTCACATGGGATATAGAGACGCAATCACAAAAATTGGGTGAATTTGCTGAAGTCCTTGATCTGAATCATAATTTTTTATGATTTCTATGACATTGCATTGGAAAGATGATCCAAAACCACTAAAGCAAATATGTCTTGTCGATGTTGAAATAGAACCAGACTCATACTGGATCACAATCATTTGCGGAAATTAAGTAAATCTACTAAAAGCTTTCGCTTTCTTCTGGCGAGCATTTGCCTCTGATATACATATTGGGTTTAACGATTCAGACTATGATTGGCATTTTATTATGGAAAGAGCATATCATCTTAATATACTCGAATAGATGTAGGAGCGAATGACAGGAAAGTTCGAAACAAAGGAAGAAATTACAGTCAACCCTTGATATAACGAATTTTATGTCCTGAACTTCAACTTCGCTATAGAGCTATAGTGAATTTTTTAAAGAATTTGATTGGCTAGTTCGTTATAACGAGGGTAAATTTAATATAGTTGTCCAAAAAATTCGTTATATAAAAATTCGCTATAGAGAGGTATGACTGTATAAAATGAAAATATCGTGGAAAGATAGGAGTGAAATCTGAAAATGATTTCATAAAAAAGTATCCTGTTAAAGCTCTCAAGGAAGGTGAAGAGGATCTGGAGGAGAAAGAATATATAGGTAGTCTAATTAAGATCAAAATTAGTGCAGAAGATGATTTTACTTTTAGCTTCCTTAAACTGTCAAGTTGCGTACTGATTAATGTCTGAGTGTGTCTCAAAAAACGTTTTCCTCATTCTGAAGTCAAAAAAAAGTTCACTTAAATTTTTCTTACAAAAGTGTGGTCTTGACAGTAAGGCCGACATGCCATATGATAAAATGTGAAAAATCTATTCAGAGGTGAAAAAAACCCTTCCTCAACAACCGCGAGAAATATGCATGAAGTAGCACATTACTGTATTATAGATGCATTGTGCTATCAAAAGCTTTTGGTAAACTAAAGTATAATAAATGATTATAGAGAAGTTGCCTCTATAGCTTATGTTTCTCTTTTTGACACACACTATCGCGCAAATAGAATGAAGGTACAGAACCTTTTCAGAGCATATGCTGTCAAACGAGATATAGTAATAAGTACAAAGGTTCCTGAAAATATAGAAAAAGAAAAATATCCTGGTGTGTATGTATTTCCACCTAAAAAAGGGATTGAAAGTAGAAGATCTGTAACGGGATTGGATTTCGCTTCATTATATCCTAGTATTATCATGCCATATAACCTCTTCCCAGAAAAATTTATATTTGATCCAAAGGATGTCAATATTGCATAAAATAATAGAAATAACTTGTATAAGATTAAGTTTTCGTTTAATAATCATATCGTCCAAGCTTAGTACGTCCGCCATGATAACCAAACAGAAAAGAAAGGCCTATATCCTATTATTAGGATTCTTCAAAATCGAATCAAATCAAATTGAACTCAAATATTTGATCGAATCAATTTGAATCAATTTGAATTTGATCGAATCAAATCAAATT